TGTTAGTCTTCAGCCGCCATCTCAGATATCCGCTGCCATCCATGGTAGTAAGACTGTAAAATAGACACGTAGCACAGTCTCTCTCCCCATACCAGAACATAGAAGAGAGAAGCGCGTAAACTCGTGTCAGCACCATATCCGACAGCTTGGGACAGATAAGCTCATGAGCTGAACGTCAGATTCATCCAGCCTCTCGTAACAGAGCCTCCGGCCGCAGACCGCACCGCAGGATCCAAGGACACGGTTTCGGGTTGACATCAGACGTAGTGCTGCTGACCATCTTCACGATGAGATCACGGTTCCAACGACTTCGTTTCCGACAGTATGACCGACCGCTTGACACTCGTCGTACGCAGGGAGCATCGAAGAGGACCGAGGACCTGTCTTCCTTCACACGGCTTCCAGTGAGATGTAGAGGAGATGATGTTCGAAGAGAATCGAAACGTTGCAACGAGCTGAGCACTCCGTCAGATCGATGTAGGACTGTCCTTATCACCCTCCTGCAACCGGAACAGAAGGCCATCAACCATCTTCGATATGTTCAAGTGGTCCGGTCCACGAGGACATCCGGAAATATGAGTCGGCAGGAAAGGGGCGTCTCATCCAGGCCGAGGACTCCATATCCCCAGTTTCCCGGATCCCGAGATAGCCTCGCAAAAAAACCCAGGAAAAAAAGGGCACCCTCGGATCTGGGGACCCAGCGGTCTATTAGTACCCATCTCCCGGTCAGAGAACCCACATCGACCCCAGATTTTCCTTGAAAAAACTGCCCAAAAAACAAGCCCAGTTTTTTTCCTCCCATCACCTCCACATATTTCCTAATCTCACCCGGCCGGGCTCTCAATCTCTGCTGGGCTTTTGCGGCCCTGGCAGGTGGTTCTTCCCCCGTATACGCCCTCTCATGACTCCCCTTTTTCCCCCTTCGCCTTTCCTCACACACCCGTTTAAACCTCCCAATCATCAGACAATTTTGTCTTTCTATCCTCACACCTTGTTCTTAGGTCCTCCCACTCACTCCTCTCTTGTTCCCATTTTGGCCCAGTCACCTTCCTCCAGTGGGACACGCACACACCACTCTTGGTCTGGGGGAGGATAAGGACAGTGAAAGGGGGGGTGGTTGAACCAGGGGGCTATCACCTCCGATCATTCGAGATCCAACTGAAACTAGCACAAGAGAAGAGCAAGACAGAGCAAAAGTCAGACCCGCTCCCCCCTTCGAAACTCCGCCCATCCTCCGAGCAAAGAGTTCTTGCTATTGTGCTTGGCTGAACTATGGGCTCATCATCTACGCACCCCCGCCGAGCCCCACTGGCGATAGGCCGCCCCACCGCCGGTTTTGTACGTAATGGGGCCTCCTTCATTTCTTCTTGGTTCAGTGAGGATAACGGATCGAGAGAATTAGTAGACGGTGATCTTGAGCTTCGGATTGGAAAACGGAGCGAGGGACCTCGGGCCAAGGTTGGTTAGTCTTGTCGCTGGATCACCCAGTGCCACCAGCGGAAAGATTGAGCAAGCAGAAACTAGGTCTCAGAGCTTTGTCTGGGGAAGGGATTACGGTGAAGATGGAGAAGCGAAGCCCATCGATACCCCAGAGATCTCTCGATGCCTGACCGGGAATGCTCCCCAGGCCTGTCCTCCAGAAGCATAAGGCTTATACGCCACGAAGGCTGTCTATTGTAGCCTGACATCCGGCAATTGCAATGAACCTGCTTCGTCCCTGAAGAACCCTATAACCGAGTTCCTTGGATAGAGACGGGGCCGGCCGGACGTAAAATCTCTCATAATTACCTCGAAGATAATCTCGCATTGCGGACTTCGCGGCATTGCCAATATCTTCTCCAGGACGGCCAAGTTCGGTAGAAGCTGCGCACCGTATTCCCGGTACGCTCCTTCGCACTACGAAGTTACATGAGGTTGTGTCTCTCAAAGCGTAGCCCCGACCGGAGCAGCTGTACCGTGTCGGTTACTCCATAGCTAATCATTACTTGTATTCGAGGCGATTTCGATCCCTTCCCAGCCGCAGTCACACCATCGCCTTCGATGTTGCCGTTGCTCATCATGGGCCTTTTGGCTCTTGTTATCGCGAGCCGCCTCTGCCTTCGACCGCGATACTCGTCCTCTTTGAATGCTGGTCCTCGAAATCAAGGACTCTAGGTTTTTCCTCTCGATGCCTCTCAGCAATCGGCCGGGGCCCCCGGCTATCATGATCTCATCCGTAGCTCCGTAGCACCTCATAACAGCAGCCCAACAGGTCATCCAACGCGAAAAAGCGACCGGGGGTGTAAATATCCAACCAGCCAAGCCGAAGTGGAACTCTCGCCGTACACTAATACCATAGTACTTCGTGGATGATACACCAAAGCAGTGATTAAGTGGGCTGGTCTGAGATGTTCGTGCCAATCCTCTTCCTCTCTTGACCAGAAGCCGGCCCGCCCGGTTGCACGTGGGGTGCCGGACTGCTGTGCGCTGGCTCACCACCTTTCCCTTTCCAGGTGTTCTTAGTGCAAACTACGATCAATTGATACTTCATGTGAGCACCACGCCCAACTACTGATCGGCGATGTACCCTCTCACTATTTTTCCGTGCACTAGTACGGAGTCGCTTGTGTCAGAAGAAGGAAGGTAAACTTAGGAGGTAAAACTCTGCCTCGCTTTAATCTCCCCGCGTTATTATCGTAAACTAGCTCTGAACAGCAACCGCGCTTGCGGCCTGTCATGAATAAAACCCACTGGAGTTCCTGTGATCGAAGCAACTATGTTATGCTTGTCGCAGTGACTGGCTAGTTTTATGCATTACATTGAAAAGAATTATCCATTCCATCTTGGATGAGAAAACACCAAAGATGAAGCAAACAAGGGTGAAATAGGAGAGAAACTGTGCTCGAGTCTCTGTCGCACATGTCAGACCGCCTGCAATAGTAGTGGGCAAGTATCAAATGCGTGGTGAGCACTGAGCAGACAGTAGTGTAGTAGTAAGATGAAAGCAAAGCCTCGCCTCGGGCCATATCGGAACGAAGGAGTGTCCCTACCCAGGCACAAGTCAAACTTTTACTGGCACTCCAGCCACTGACGAGAAGCAAGGGGGGAAGAGAAATATCGGAGACGGGGCCAGGGGTGGTGTGTACGAAGCAGTTGAGTGCTTCGTAAAAAATGACAGGAAAATTTTTTTCCTTCTGGCGCCTTTCTCGCCTTCCACTGAGATCAAGGGAAGCGAAAAGGATGGCGCCGCTATCTGACCCACTAGTCATTTCTCGGCGAGCAATCAATTCCCAGCAAGCCAAGGGCCGTGTCTCTGCCGTCATAATGCTGGCTGGGAAACCCAGTTACGGACTAGGTCCTGCCTTCATCCGGCCTGCCGCCGAGCCTCATCTGAGATCCACACCCACTGGACACACCCCTGTCGACCAGGGAAAGTAAAAAAAGAAAAAAAGAAGTGAAAAGAAAAATTCGGTAGCATAGGCAAGTGCGGAAGTACCTTGTACCTCGCACAACACGAAGCGAGGCCTGCGATACCGCCCGCTTGGGAGGGCACAAGGTAGCAACTGCCTAGATGACTTCACGGCTGCAGTGTAGGATTCGAAGTACCGAGGTACTTTGTCTCGCTTGTTTCGCTTCTCATCTGCTGCTGCCACACACAGCAGAACAGCACAACAGTACATATCCAGCACGACATGATAAACTCAAGCTTGCAAAGACACTCTAATCCTTCATTGGCTCGAACTCGAGATTTCTGCTCGCAGTTGACTCAGCGTCGAGAAACTGAAAAAGAGAACCCAAAGTTAAAATTGGAATGAAAAGAGGCACAATGATGGGAGAGGGAAAATCGAGCATAAATCGATACATAAATAAAATGAAATTTGTTTTAAGGAAAAATGGACAGACAAACGAAAGGGAGAAGAGCAAAAAGGGAAGGAAAAAATTTCTCGGGTATCGTCGCAAGAACCGGCGGGCCTAGGTACCGTCTTGCCGAGCAACACGCGGAGAGGTACTTCGGTTGAACCGCTGTCTCTGATTGCGAACCCTTGCACTCAACTGTCCCAATCAGGAATTATTTCAGTAAAGCTCTGTCGTTCACGCAGGACCATCGACTTGGTTCGGTTTGTTTCCCATGCAGTGCAGCAAACGCCATGCTTGTATACCTCGTACATATCCCCTTTCCCCTGTCTGCTGAAAAACAAAAGAGAAGCTGGAAGCCTCCGTTTGTCCTCGTCGAGCTCACTTGCTCAAGCTCGGAGTGGTGTTCACGAACACTCTCGCGGAGCTAACAGCTTCGTACTTCGTAAGGGGGCGAGTCGTGTACCAATAACCGCACCCCCTTTCGCCCGTTACTGTGGCCGAGGGAACTCAATCCGTCCCATGGCTGAGTGGGGGTCACAAACTTTTTCCCAACACACACGCCCACTACCCCTACACACCCCCCTTGCTTCTTGTCCTCACTTTATCTTGGCACCTGTTCCTGATGAGGCTCAACAGCATGCTTAGTGCACCTCTCAACCTTCGTCCGAGATGGCCCGACGACTCTCGGGGGGGCCTTGTCCTCCTATCACCGGCTTTGGAAGCTTGTCGGTGGACCCGCTTGCCTCTGGGATCCTCTCCAGGCCAAACATGTACCTGTTGAAATTGAGTGAAATGAGTGAAATTGAGACGCCGAGAGTTATCCTGTCCCAGTTGAGCAGCGTTTGAAGAACTTCTCCAAATCTTCGAAAATACCGTGAATAGATTCCTGAGGCACCGCCGTAGGGGAGAGGGAACCGCCGGCAAGGGAAAAAATTTTCCCCATTCCATGCGCTCCACACTTCCAAGACGTCTTGGTTGACCTTGCGTCTCTTTCCTCTTTCCTCTCCTCTTCTTTTCTCCCTTTATCACTTCCTTCTTCCTGTCATCTTCTTTACCCTTTCCCACCACTCCTTAATCCACTCTTGTGTGTGCGTGTGTGTTGCGAGCTTGTATCATCCTTTCTCTCTTGTAGATTATCCCATCAACCCCAAATCTCCTTCAAGATGTCTTCCGCCCGCTTCGCCTCTAGGCTCATGGCCTCTGCCTCGACCAAGGTCGCCAGGCCCGTTGCCCGCACCCAGCTCGCTTCCGCCGCCTCGAAGCGCACCATCTCTGGTAAGCAAACTTCTCCCTGACCTTCTCCAGCTCGATAGATCAGCCATTGGCCATCAATTGGCCTCCAATTGGGGGTTTTCGAACGGAATCGAAGCGAATTGAGTTCCGGAAGAGCTTGGACGAGAAATTTTTTTGCTCACGCGCGATATTTTCTGCAACACCATAACAGGCCTCAACAGCCCCTTCCAGGCTGCCAAGCGCCAGCAGATCAACGTCGCCGCCCGCCAGGCCTTCGCCAACGCCGGTGCCCGCCGCGCCTACTCCTCTGAGATCGCCCAGGCCATGGTTGAGGTCTCCAGGAACCTCGGTATGGGCTCTGCCGCCATTGGTCTGACTGGTGCCGGTATCGGTATCGGTCTCGTCTTCGCCTCCCTCATCAGCGGTGTTGCCCGCAACCCTGCTCTCCGTGGCCAGCTCTTCTCGTACGCCATTCTCGGTTTCGCCTTCGTCGAGGCCATTGGTCTTTTCGATCTCATGGTTGCCCTCATGGCCAAGTTCGTAAGTGTTTTCCCGCTCCGGGTTCCGGGGAAGAATTTGTTACCGAGGTTGTGGGTACCACCGAGAGCTCCGGCTAACAAGCTTCACCTCAGACTTAAACGCTTAATTGCGCCGAAAACAAAAAAGTCTCCTGTGGATGGGGGAATTGAACATAGCATCCGCGCGAGGATATATCAACCTCAACATAACACTGCCACCACTTGGAGTATGGATTTCTTTAGACGGGTCAAGGTGACCTACCCTTGCATTGTTAAACAAAAAAGGCACATCATGTATTTCTATAATTAGAAGAATCCATGATAGAGGACAGACGCGAAGAATAGAGAGGTGTGTGAGGGCGGTCTCTCTCGATCACTTTTACTTATCCTTTTCCCACTGGGGGCTTGTGTTTTCAACCCTCTGACAATATACACGGATTCCTTTGTCTTGTGAAAAAGAGGTGAGCTCCTCAGATTGATTGGAAACCATGACTGCTGTTTCATTATAGTGAGAAAGAAGATTGCAACAAACCATCCTATCGAGGGCGCAGGACTGTTCCTTCCGTCGATCGACCGGCAACTGATGGGCGATAGCGGAAAATTTCGGCACGAAGTGAAAAACACTGTTGTCTCGACTCGGACGTTCCTACTTTTCTTCTTGCCCGTCTGCCAGGTCCTCGGGTTCCGCAATCAGGAGCGGCGGAAAGTCTTCCGGACATTGCCCATTCCTGTAAAGCCACAGCCGACTGAGATCCTTTACTCTGACCACCTTGCCATCCTGCAGTTTCATTCTAGTATCATCGTGAACATCGACTTCATCGAGAACACTGCCGCTGCCGAACCCGTCGTCTCCGAGCCAGCTGATCGAAAATGCCTCTCTTGCATTCTTCGATGCGTCGCCCTCCAGCCCCAACTGCACGATGCTGTCCATAAATTCGCTCGACTCAGCCGCACCGACAAACTCCCCCGTTTTCGAGTCCTTCTCGAGTGGAAACATTCCATCAAGGTAATGTTGGCAAAGCTGGTGCCCGCCACGTTTCGACGACCGAATAAACAGACGCCCTATGAATCTCGGGACAGTGGCCGATGCCAAAGAAGACGTTGCGAAGTGCAAGATACCCCATAGCGCCACAAAGTCGGTTACATGAGCATAATGCTCGATATGGGCAATGGCGCGGTCATGAGCTGCCGACTGGGTCTGGATCGATGTCATTGAGTTGCGCTTGCTCTGAGGTTGTGGGCTACTTGAGAAATCCTCTCCTGTCGGGCTGCTGACTGGGGAAGATTGCGTGATGGTGGTCGTCATCGTTTCGACAGCAGAGTCCGGGTCTAGCTTCGCAAGCTGCTGGGAAACAAGGTGCCGGTGGGGGTTATTAAAGTGGTTGGCTGCATTCCCAAACGTGTATATCTCGAGCTTGGAAAGAAGGTCCTGAGGTAACTCTTGGAGGATCCAGTCCACCACCATACCGCCTTCGATGCCTCCCTGCGAGTGGAGGATGAGGACGACCTTGGACAGCTTAGGATCGTACAACTTCTCTTTCACGACCCGATAACACACCCGAGTGTCGTACGTGGCGTATCCCAAATTACGTTGAACGAGACATTCGACTACGTCGAATAGGATACCCCAAGTCCTATTATGGATTCCCAGGACAGGACGCTTGAAGGTGAGCGCCAGCCGATTGAGGTTATTCTTGAGCCAGTGTTCCCTAATTAACTCGTTAGCCATAAGCTAGATCCAAGGTCCGCAGCACGATGACACCGTTAACTCACCCGACCGATACACCGTTGACGAATATCCACTGCTCATGGGCATGCTCAGGCAGAGCCGGCGCATATTTTTCATCCGATGTATACGTTATATCTCCCTTCCCGTTCAGGAGAGAGCAAATGGCACCGTTCACAGCGAAGAAGGTGCTGATCGCGACTATCGAAATCCATACAGGCAGGAATAGAGCGAGTGGTAGGGAGAGAATGAAGCCGGCCTGGAGGACAAACAAGATACTGTGGATGAAGAGGCACCAGATGTTCCGAGGCGTCGGCGAAAGCTCGCTCAAATGACCCGAATCATATGGTCGGAGAGGCGCGACCACCCACGGGAAAGCTGGGAGATAGCGGAAAAAATTGTAGACGTCCCAGGCGAGTAGCTTCCAGGGCTGGTCGGTGTAGGCGTAGTTCACGACGGTGCTCCCACCTACCTGGGAGCCGATGAATATGGGGCTCTGGGTGTCCATGCTTGCGTCTGCAGCTTGTTGGTTAACTCCCACCGTTGTATGTCCAGAGAGATCAATAGAAGATGGATAAGAATGGAGAGGGGTATTAATAGAGGTAGATAAACAACCAAATTAAATGTTGAGGATAATAATAATACCTTCAAGTCTGTTGCATTTGACCCTTCCCGACTGGGCGAGACACGATGAACACCATTGTCCCAGAAAAGAAGCACAAACCTTGCGCCTTTTCACTATCAATGGATGACAGGCAGCCATCGGAGAACAAGGCGTGCGGCCATTCCGAGAGTTTATTGTCCAAGGAACACTGAACTCAATTCCTCTCACTACTGACCACAGCCCGGCGCTCCGCCACAGTAGCCGGTTTCTGGAATGTCATCCCAACAGACGAATTGGCGGACGAGATTTGGTACACACACGTCCTGAACCCAAGACGTGATCCAGCCATATCACCTAAATCGAATAGGAGCGCATGTGATGCAGCCATCACAGGGAACAGAGACACAAGGGCCTGATCCAGTGATCAGCGATATTGTCTCACACCCTCATCTCTGTGAGTCTTACGCCAAGACAGCGGATTCCGGCGTACTGTGAGAAGGGCCAATGGAGCAAAGTGGCGGCGATGGCCATGATGGTTTGGTGGCAGTCTCTACCGCTAATTTCAATTGAGCGTTCAATTGAACAATCGGCCAAGTTGAGCTTGAAAAGAAATGGGTAAAGCGCGATTTTGGCTGGGGAAGAGCTTAAGCTCAAACTAGTTGGGGTGAGCTCGGTCAACGGCAGTCGCGTTTTGCGGGGTAAAATGCCGCACCATTGATCATTCCATTGACGATGCTATTATGCGAATAGGCGATCCTCTTCTTTATCGAGTATATTCCTTAACCTTGCCATTTCTTCAATCCGATTTCCCCCCCCCCCCCCAAAGTACAGTCCTTTGTACCTCTTGAGTGACGTGTTGAATGAAGCATTGATGTTAAATCGAGAAGACCCTCTCCCCGATTTACAGAAACCACGGGCGACCGTGCCACTAATTCGAGATGTCCAACGCACTCGACTCCTTCCAGCACGTCCACGATGGGCCCCTGGACCTCCGGGTTGAGGATTACCTCGACGACAAGCTCCAGTCCACAACCGACCTCGACACCCTCGATGAGCTTCTTGCCAAGGTAGAGCTCCAGCAGAGCCAACTACAATCCCAGCTCGACAACGCCACGAAAGAACTCGAAGATGCCAAACGCACGGCCAGCGAGCGCCAGGACTCGCTCTCCTCGCAGATCCAAGAGTTTCAAGACCTCCAACACAGCATCGACGCGCGTCTAAAAATTGCCACGGCCTCTGACGCCCCGAGCGAAGCCATCACACGCTTGCAGGTCCCCATGAAGAAACTCCGAGCCGTGAAGATTGCCCAGAAATACCTCGAGCTTCTCCAGGATGTCGACCATCTACGCGCCGAGGCTCGGTCCCACTTGCCTGAAAGCCCCAAGGCTGCTCTCGAGCCGTACACGAAGCTGAGGAAGCTCGCCATCCGACTCCGGGAGCTCCAGGAACCTGCCGACTATGCGGCGGTGCACCTGGTCACCCACGTTACGGTCGTTACCGACATGCTTTGGGACGAGATGAAGAAGACTATGTCGAAGGAAATGGATGCTGTCCTGCAGGCTCGCGGGTGGCCGAATAGGATCGACCCTGCTCATGCCGAGATGGATGAGGAGTGGTTAATCTGCTTCGACAAGCTCTTGGATCTGCAGCTTCCGGAGTTGCTTTACACGGACTCTGTTATTTCGCTTTTACCGTTCGACGTCATGTGCCGCATCTTCATCTCCGAGTTCCGCTTCCACTTCCTTAGCGACAAACCCACAAGCAATCCTCAAAGCATCAACACTCACTGCTTCCCTTGGCTCTTCGCGCTCCTCCACAAATGGGAGGATTTCTTTAGGGACAACCTCGGACCCTCTCTCGCAGCTAAGTTCCGTGACACGCCGGCTGCGGACCGTATGGTCTACGTCGACCCCGTTTGCGCCTTTATCACATCTATGCTGCCGGTCATGCGAGAGAAGGTGAAGGCGACGATGCAAGAAGCTGTCCGCAGTCCAACTTTCCTGAGCAGCTTGATGGGCCAGGTGATGGATTTTGACGACACGATACGGTCCACCTTCAATTACGACGGCGGCGAACCTCACGGCTGGGGTGGCCTTACTTCCGAAATACTGGACGAGTGGTTTGAGCCCTGGTTCCAAGCAGAGAAGCAATTTGCCCTCGAGAGGTTCCGCGCCATCATGGACTCGCCGGACGCGAGGAACATCGACTATAACTACGGAGGTCTCGGCAAGACGAAGCCAACATACGGTGCCACGCGAGTTACCGACCTACTAAGATCAGTAACAGCACAGTACCGACGAGCGCCCAAGTTCAAACATAAGCTGCGGTTCTTGATTGGTATTCAATTAGATGTTTTGGACGAGTACCATGATCGTCTACGGGGCTCACTCGAGGCTTACGGAGCGATCAATTCTGCAGTGGGCAGGACGCTTCACGGTGTCACCAAGGACCAGTTGGCAGCTCTTGAGGGCACCGGCCAGTTTGAGACGCTATGCAAGGTGTTTGGTAGTTCCGACCACATTGTCGCGACCCTCACAGATTGGAGTAATGAAGAGGTTTGTAGCGCCTTTGTGACGCTTCTAATCTCATCTGATACTAACTATTTGTCCAGTTCTTCGTCAGCCTCTGGGACCAGCTACAGTCCAGATCCAAGGGCTCGGAGGAGCAGCGCGTATTCTCGGGAGAGATTAGCTATCAAGAGGCGAAAGACAGGACGTCAACCTCTATGGGCTCCAACACCGACGATGGAGGCTTATTCGACGAGACCATTGCTGCGTACGCGTTAAGGCGTAAGACTGCGCGAGACTTCCTCGAGGCGGCACTAGTTGAGTCGCACAATAAGGCTTTCCGCCCGTACCTCAGCCGGACACACTGGACGCCGGCGTCCGAGGATCTTACAATCGGTGAGTTTCTTCATCAAGCTAGTCACCAGTCTTTCTCTTTATAATGGTCTTATGTGCTAATGGTCGCTCTGTAGATCCTAGCCAGCTTGCCATCACGGCCCAACTAGACGAGCCGCTACAGGTAGGGATCCCCCTTCTCTAGGTTCCTTTCCATCCTGCTCTTTTTATACTAACGGAGCTTTTAGATTCTCAAACGTAATCTAAACTTCCTCGTCCGGGCCTTAGGTACAGCCCCCCTCCGCCGCGTCTGGCGCCACGCCCTCGAAAAGCTCCAAGACGCCCTCTGGTCAGACATCGTCACGAGACAGAACTTTACCGCCCTCGGCGCCGCGCAGTTTACCCGCGACCTCGAAGCCATCTGTGTCCTAGTCGAGAAGGCCATCCCCGGAAGTTCGGCATCGCTCGGAACTGTTCTGGAGGGCGCCAAGCTGCTCCGACTTCCTGTCGTAGTGGCTGAGGAAGGAGCAGGATTGAGCTTGAAGGAGGCGAGCGATAGGGTGTTTACGGATAATACCGAGGCTAAGAAGGTGTTGGAGGAGCTTGATATTGAGATTTTGACGCCGGCGAATGCTCGGCATATCTTGCAAAGGCGGGTAGAGAATATTGAGTAAAGCTGCGCTTCTATGGATATCTAGATATCCGAGGTGTGAGCTGAAGAGTTGGATAGATAAAACCATAGCCAGATTTCATTGCATAGAAGGTATCCGGGTATTATTCATAGATATGTACAAGACATGCTAAACTCCGGTTGCAGTATCAAGTTGACCCATCTGCACTTCCTCACTCTCCAATGTTCGACAATCATGACTCTAAAACCGCTTGAAATGTTGAAATTTCCCAGTGAACAACCAAACCTCTAAGAAAAAAATGAAAAAGAAAAGCCGAAGAAAAAGTATATATTTCCCTCATCCTCTAGTTGATCGCCCTCATCGTCATCTCAACAACAGCAAAAGTCCCCGCACTCACAGGCATAGCCCTCAACAGCGTCGGCCCAATCCCCTTCCAAAACCCCCTCACCCCCTCCGCCCTCCACGTCTTCGCAAAGCAATCCCTCATAGTACTATACTTCCTCGCTTCGCCGAAACCATCCGTCTGCATCTTGCTCTTGATCACGTCGAAGGGGTAGCTACCCAACCAGAGGACCTCGCCGGCAAGACCGCCGTAGAACGCAACGCGGTAACTGGGGACGTCTTTCCTGTCGATGGCGTTGCGTCGAGCGTCGGCGTTCATGAGGTACTCGAAGGTGAGGAACCAGAAACCGTAGGCGAAGGCCTCGCGCCAGATCGTCACGGCCTCCCCGCGGTAGATACCCCTCAACGCACCCTCATGAGCACCGAGCTTCTTCACGCAGTCGAGAGGGCCCGAGTACAGGCGCGCGGCGCCATGTGGCTGCGTCTGCAGCCTAATACGCACATGCTCAATGGGTCCCGAGAGCACAGAGTTAGCGACGCCGGCGAAGGCACCCGCGGCGAAGTACTGCGAGTAAGAGAGGGCGGAGGGGGAGCCGGCTGCGGCGTTGCGCTGCTCAAGCCATCGACGGGCCTGGTGGAAGGCGCCGAATTGGATGGACACGCAGGCGCCGATGCCGAGGAGGGGCGTGAGAGTTCCCTTGTAGAAGGCGAGGGCGCCCTCGTTCTTCCAGATTGAGGTGGCTGCTGAGAAGGCTGAGGGGTACTGGTTGGAGGTCTGGAGACGGACCTTGACGATGTCAAAGGGTTGGCCTGGATGAGTCAGTTTAGTCGTTGCTCGTGAAGCGTATCTGTGTGGATACATCAAATATATATCAAATATATTCTATGTATAAAAGGGGAAGTGCCTACCGATGAGGACTTGAGCTACGCCTCCAACAGCGCCGGCAAAGAGATCCTTTGCCGTCTGGAGAGCAGTGTGCTCGGGATCTGCGACAGCGACTTCGGTCATTTTTTTTTTTCCTTCCTTGTTGGAACCGGTACCCCTCCTGGGTTGCAGAGACCAGGCCGTGAACGGGAGCGGGGTCGGCCGAGAGATGAGTCTGGAGTGAGACCCTTGGAGATGTACGGTTGGGTGAGTGAATTATATAGAGTGAGATGTAAATAGAATCAAGAAGGGAAATAAGAATATTATCAAGTGTGGTGGTGTATGTAAATTACTGGACACTGGGTGCGGTAGAGAGTCCCGGCAGTGATAGGGTCTAGTCCAATGTCGGTGTGCTGGCCGAAGCCGTCTGGGAATTAATGGACACAGCGACTCCGATTGCGTGCGCGGCAAGCGAATGAACTAATTGCTAATCATCCATTGATGCATTATACCGCCTACCGCGGTAAATATCTGTATCTACGCCGCATGTCGTAATCCGGCATGCAACTTCGGAGATCCATCAATCACGTGCAGCCGAGCCTAGGTGGATACTGGTGTTGGCTGCTTATACCCCGCTAAGGACCAAGACATCCAATTCAGGGTCGAGTGGCGCAATGGTAGCGCGTTGCTTTCCGGTTCTAATCGCCAGGAAGTTGGCAAAGGTTCTGGGTTCGAGTCC